CCACCCACTGAACAACTATTTATGGGGCCCCTGTAACTTGGCCACGGAAAGGATTACTCCCCTTCCATCCTATCAATTTGTAGCTGGAAAATTTAACAAGGGAATGGAATTCATCAAGCAAACTTGCATCCTCTTCCTAATTTGATTAAAAGGTCCAGGATTCCTTAGTTGGCCATATTATTCTCAGTTCTTTTGTTTTATTCTAGCACCCCGGCGGGTAGGGACTAACAAGAGGAAAAATATATTGCATTGGTCCTGTGTTAGACAGCCCTGTAAATTTCACACATCTGTTTTAGAAGGATGATTGTCTGGATGCACTCGCAGCAAGCGTTGTGCCTTGGAGAAAAGAGAAAAACTTCAGCACCCACCTGATGAGTAAAGAGCCCATAAATAAAAATGTCATTTCTCCCGTAAGGGAAACTAAATTATGAATTCAGAAATTCGTAGTCATCTGTTTTTATTGTTGCCTAATGCTTTTTAGATCTGCACAGGCCCTGCAGAAAATCAACTCTGAAATTCTGCATAATTAGGATATCTTTCATAGTCCTAAATGCTAATCCCATTGGAGAACAGATTAAGAATTCACAGGCATGATTTTTGGCATCAGGTACCTGCAGTTTCTTTTCTTTTTAAATAATTCATTGTTTAAATACTTCAGTGCATATTATATACAGCCCTGCATATTGTCTCAGGGGCAAGGGAGAGGTAAGAGATTAATTTCCCATATATTTCAACACTAAACACATTCAAGACTCATTTATGTTGATTTGGTATCATCGGATTGCAATTGCTAACAATGTTACAGTTTTAGTTAGTCACCCCAGGGACCAATTTAGGGAAATTAAATAGGATATTCTGCAGGACATTAATAAGGTCAGAGATCTAACTTTTATAGTAGTTGACTGAGTTATTTGCTTTAAGAAAAAAACAGCAAAAGATTCAGGAAGTGATTTTCCATCAACAGTGCTGATTATTTGCAGTAAATATGGCTTCAGTTAGTGCTTTTCCATTCTCGGCTGTGAATGCTTTATGACAAAATGGGTGAACAGAAAGTAGAAGGTGATATCTTACAGCTGACTTTTGTCCATGCAATGCTAACCATGGGGGTTCAGCAGTAAAGCAGTCATCATTCAAGACTTGATGCCATACCCCTTCTCCCATGAAAGTTTCTTAGTGTCCTCACCACGTTGGTGCAGATGCCCTCATAGGAAACATTCCCTGTGCTTTGAGTAACTGCTAGTCAAGGCATCCGTCCCATTGCTGAACAGTGAACTCCCTTTCATCTCTATCACTGGTGCCTTGCACAGTGCCTGGCTCAGAAGCACTTCATCTCTGTTTGTTTAATAAATGAATGAATTTTCAAAGATTAACATAAACTCTGTGTTGGTTGCAAGTAACAGGACCTAAGTCAAACGACTTAAGCCTAAAGGGGAGAGTATTGTCAGGATACTATAGTCTCGTTGGTTCCACATGCAGAATGTGGGTCGGGTAGAACCCAGGATTCCAGAACTATCCTCATGCTCCCATTTCTGGCCTCTGCCTCTCTCTGTGACAGCTGCTTGCCAGAAGTGCTTGTGGTGTTCCAGCCCACAGCCTCAGCTACCCACTCTTGCTCAGTTCCAGGTTGCGGGTTCTCCAGAACAGACTCTTTCTGATTGGCCTCACGTGAGCCAGGTATTTCTCCAGGAGTCTTAGTCAGCTCAGGCTGCCATGACAAAATATCATAGACTGGGAAGCTTAAACAGCAGACATGTATTCTCTCACAGTTTTGCAAGCTGGAAATCTGAGATCAAGGTGTCAGCAGGACTAGGTCCCCATGAGACCTCTCCTTCTGACTTGCAATCAGCTACCTTCTCACTGTGTCCCCACATGGCCTCTCCTCTATGCTCAGGAGGAGGGGTGGAGGAGAGAGAGAGATCTCTGCTCCTCTTCTCATAAGGCCACTAGTCTTATCATGAGGGTCTACCCTCATGACCTAATTACTTTCCTAAGGCCCCATCATCAAACACCATCACATTAGGAGTTAGGGCTTCTTCATATGAATTTGAGGATACCCAAATATTTAGATCATAACAAATGGCTCTGATTGGCCCTATTTGGGCCAGGTACCCACATCTGGGTCAGCCAATGGCCAGTCAATGAGGTCAGAGGCATGGCCAGCTTCTATGGGCACCATATGGGAGGCTTAGGGGCAGATGTGGGGGAAGAGTTCCCAGAAGAGAGGGACTCATGGCAAACCAAAAAGCGTTCAGTGTCCTTGGCAATATGCGTGAATGTGGTGGCATGGTGGTGCCTGATGCCACCATTCTTTCGTGACTGTAAATGTGACTGACTTTCTGTCCTTTGGGTGAGAACTAGCTCAGTTTGTGCTTATGTCTGGCACTTCTTCCTTCAGTTGTTTTTGCTGGCATCTAGCATCAAAAATCTACACATGTATAGTTTTAAAAATATATAGTTTATAAAACAGTTTCACATGCACCGACCACCTAATGCAATGTTCACAGCCGTCCGCTCCGGGGATGCTAACTCTATTCCCCATGTGAGGAGATCAAGGCTGGCCACCTGCCCCAGTTCTGCGCAGCATTACATGGCAGAGGGAGTCTTGGAGATAGGGTCTTAGGATGGCCAATTGAGTTCTCGCTTCTCCTTAACAATCTTCCTTCTTTAGTATTAAAATGATGTGTCTGGCAATTTAGAGTCTTTGTCCTTTGGTAGTGATGACAGCTGGTGTCTGTCAAGCAGGTGCCCGGTGCCAGGCTCTGTCCCAAGCCCTTTACTAGTGCCAGCTGCTTCAGTCTCCACAGCAGCCCATCAAAGAAGGCACTATTGTTATCCTCTTAAATGGATGGGGAAGCTGAGGCAAGGGTAGTGTGCAGTTCGCCCAAGGTTGCAAGGCAAGCACTGTGAACATCAGCAGGAGCCACGTCTTCTTACTTGGAGGCTGTGCTTCAAGAGAGCACAGTGGCTGGACTGTGGAGGTTGTGGCCCTGCTGGATGTGAGGAGCAACAGTTCCGAGGGCAGATGGAAGGATATCAGCTCACTCTTCTGCACCCACCCCCACCTCAGTGACCCAGACAGGAAGGCCTGTCCAGGGAGGGTAGAGCTGCTCTCTGCTGAGCTGTGTCTGCACATGGTCAAAATTGACATACTCTAGAACCCAGGGGTGTCAGAGAAGCTAGGGGGCTTGTGGTTAAAGGGAACTTAAGCCAGAAGGGAGGAGGCTTGTCCACAATCACCTGCTAGTTTGTCTTAGGGTCTAGGTGCAAACCCATCTCCAATTGTCCATCCTGTGCTCTTTCCAGCCCTCTGACCTCTCAGTCAAGGTTCTCTCCCTCTGGGCCTCCATTTTCTCCTCCATATAATGAGGAATTGAATCTGACAATCCCAAGGCTTCTGTCCAGCCCTATTGACCAAGAATCCTGGAGAGCTGCCTAAGGCCACAGTGCTCCTTCCTCTTGTTGGCCATACTGGCCAGTTAAGATCCAGCCAGCAGCTGTGGTCAAAGGAGAGAGAAAAATTCACCCATAGCCTTAATGATCTTTGGAATCTCCATAATCACCACAGGCTGGCTCTGCTCATGACAAGTGCTCGCACTAGCAGTCAGCCAATCATCAGCGAACCTCTCCATGCTGGTCTTGGAGCAGCTGATGGCCAGTCCTGCTGGTCGCAGCCTTGTCCAAGGCCCTTTAGTGTGTGTAGTGGTGGAAGAAAAGACTTTATTATTTGTTACCTGCCTTGCAGGGTCTGCTGGACAGGAGCAGATAGACACCAGTGGGAGCTGGTTTAAATGGTGCCTTTGGGGGCACAGGAATGACCTTCATAGCTGCCAAACATGCAAGCAGATCCCCTCTTTCCTTGATGTCCCTGTTCAATTTTAATGTTTTTATTGCTCAAATGTCTCCCGTGGCTTTCTTTATCACATTGCTTCCAAATCCAAGATGGTGCTCCATGGTGTAGCTCCCTGGGAGTTTCCAGCATGACTCTCAGGTTTGAGTCAGCCATGGATGTCATCAGTTGGGTGCTGACATTCTCATTGACATCCTCGGGAGATCCCCAGGCAGACCTGGGCTGTGTTCTGTTTAAGAAACCGTGAACTCCATTTCACTGTGTGATCTCGAGCCAGCATTTAATCTCTGTAGGTCTTCTACTTTAACACTCAAATGAAAATGTTGGCCTAAATGATCTCTAAAGTCTTTTCTGTCTCCTCCTTCATTTCGGTTCCCATCTTCAATACTTCCATTACCTCTGAAGGTGGAAGTTTAGCATTTTAGCCCCCAAGTCCTAGCCCTGCTGAGTGTGACATGCAAAGCTTCGATCTACTGCAGGAAGGCTCATGGCTCTGGGCTAGGACTGCAGCTCTGTTTTCAGGAAAGTTATCTGGAGGCCCTTCTTCCTTTAGCCTCTCCCATGGCTTTCAATGTGGGGCAGGTGAGTTAATTATTCAAGGAGGTGTCTCTGCCAAGAGAAAGTCACCTGTGGAGAAGAGTTCTGTGTCTGGACTTGGAGCACAGCCATGATGCTGTCATCCGCTTCCTCTTGGCGCACACCCTTCATCCAAGGCTTGCCATTTTCACTTCTAAATTACTAGGTTAATAGAAATGGCATCAAAACAAGAAATAAAATGAGGCATATACCATGGATCTGCAGTTCTAATTGATTTGAAATTTAGAATCCGACAATTATTAGCACCACGTTAATCTCCACTATCATATGTGTAGCGAACACTGTACAAAATAATTTGGGTAGAGAACGTGCAACTGTACTTTCAAAATGATGCCTAACGTGACTCTATTCCGTGCTGTTGTTGTCTCACTGTTTCGCTCACCAGAGTCTAACAATAACCCTCTGAGTGGCAGACGGGGTATTTTCATTCCGGTTTTCCTCCTGGTAAACTGAGGCTCAGGGTGGTGAGGGAACTTCCCATGGTTGACCCAGGACCAGAGCCCCCTTCTAGGCAAGTGGACTCCACCCCCAAGCCCCCACGTGACACGCTGTTTTTCTGATGGCCTCTTACAGCCGTTGCTGCTTCTGTGCTGGGAGTTCTCTTTTTCGCTTGAATGTGTTTCTTCTCCAGGGCTGAGGACGCTCTTTGTATTGGTAGGCAGCCTGCACTTGTTCCTTTCAGTCCTGGCAAGTAAAAGCAGGAATTCTAAAAAGCAACGATGATTCCTCTTGGTTCCTTTGTATAGAGCCCTGTAAATAATTTATTTGGATTTGAGAGGATAGAGACTAGCAAACATATTGAATCTCTCAGTAACTGGGTGAATTCTGTGTTCAAAGTTTCAAGGCAGTGGAAAGAGAAATACTTCTTTGAAATCAGAGAAGACTTTGAGTGACCCGAGAGCTCAGGCGTGAGGCTGGAAACAGACCACAACAAGTTGTTTTTTCTTTTTTGGCATGTAAAGGTCACCCTTGAGGTTCCCACATCCACGTCCTTCACAAATGTAGCTGGGATATTGAGACGACTAGCTCTGGAGTTGGAAAACCCTGGGACAGGTCCGAGCTGGGGCACTGCCCAAGTCCCTCCTGTTGCACTCAATACCTGGTTTAAACAAAGAAAATTGTGTTTGCCAGTCTCGCTAGCTAAAGTCACAAGATTCCGAGTATCATGCAGCACTCTGGAATTCCTACAAAAACTCATCAGCAGGGCTATGCTGCCTGCTATGCAGAAACGGCCGTGCATCGGACTTTCCAGATAAAAACATTTAGTACAGAGTTGAAAAACCATGTGATGGTCATGGATTTTGTGAAGAGTAACTGGTTTCCCTCCCAGAGAAGAGCCAAAGTTTGTATCATCCATATGTGTCAAGGCTTGAAGACGGCTGAGCAGACAGCCAGCAGATACGAGGTACGGCTGAGCCTGGGTGGGTGAGTGGGTACACACTTGACTCAGAGAGAGATGGGCTTGTTGCTCCTCAGACAGTTCAGGTGTTTTATCTGGTCTGATAAATTAATCATATGTGTTTGTAGACTTCCCTGATGGATTTGGGGAATTTATTTTAGTTTTTGAAATATGGGGGAAGGAGAAAGCATATTGGATGAAGGTAATTTACGATGACACATGTCTGCATTTACAAACGTTTAATGGTGCTCCAAAGACTACTGAGTTGGGTAATTTGTATCCATGTTTAGAAACTACAGCATGTTTCTGTGAGTTAAATATTCTTAGCTCTGTATGTTTGCAATCACCTGTCTTTAAAAGCAAATTCCTGTTTGTTTCCTGTTGTGTTTTGCAGGAGAACATGTATGACATGTTTCCATTGAGTTAAAATAGGATGATTCAAGTTAGGTCAGTGAGAATGGTCTTTTATTTTTGAGAGCAAGCTCTAATTTTCAAGCAGAGACAACTTTGTAAAAAAAAAAAAAGAGAGAGAGAGAGAACTTTGGAGATTTAAAATGTCAAAGTGAGATAAACACCTAACTCTGAAACATATTTGTATTCTGCAACTAGTATCAGCCGCAAGCAGTTATCTTTTCAGGAAGTAAACACGCATGAAATCTGATCGGCTCTTTATTGTACATGGAATAAATTATGAACGACATTGTAATTGACTCCCATATAGCTCATTTACCCATCTCTTTTGATAGATGTAACATGCAAATTGCTAACGCCTTATGAAAAGGTAACCTTTCTGAATATTGATGCTGTTATTAGGAAAGCCTTCCCATGAATACTGGCAAATACGCCAGGTCTTTTGTTCCCCAGACTGGGCAGAAGGAAGCCAGCACAATGTGGAAGGAACAGGTTTTGCAAGGTTCAAGGCTGGCTTCTTCCAGTTCCAGCCCTGGGAGTGTGAATTTCCTCGTTCACAACAGAGATGTAAAGGCCACAGAAATAATGGTGCTAATTAAATTCAGTAATAGTTGTTCATTACTCCATTGCCCAATCAACCAGAGCAAAAGGTGTGCAATTAGAATATAATTGAAAGAAATCAGAGATGTCATTATTCACAAGTAATTAATCAGATGGGGACAGAATTTTTTATCATTGCATAATTTTCATTGAGGTTATTTTCCAGTCCTCCAGAGAGAGAAAAACTTGTTGAATTACATTATCATGCATCTTACAGAAGTGTTCATGGCTTCATTTTAAACCCTGTGCAGCGAACAGTAGATCTGGGATTCTCATTTTCTTCATATGTAAAACTTCACTTATTCCTAGAGCCACACTAAATAAAACAATGTGAAAAAAGTACATCTTTTTAGGAGGTTACAAAAAACTTCAAATATGTGACAGTCACAGCTACATTTTTTTCAGGGCCCAATGCCCTGCTACTATTGACAGCTAACAACTGAGCCACCAATGTTAAAATGAATTTCAGATCCAAGCCTCCACCCACAATCAGTCTGATGGGCTGGACGGGCCTCACTGTGTCCGACTCCAGAAGTTGTCCAGGAAGGGCCTGCCTCCTTGGCTCAAGGGCGGGCCAAGTTTGAAAACCATCAGATGGGATTTGCACCCCCTGTCCCTCTGAACTTCAGGCTCTACTCTTGATTTTTGGTAGCAAACATTTCCAATTTTAAAATATTCCACATCCATTAAACTATTCTTCATGTTGTTCCCACCAGGACATCTCAGCATTATTTAGATTAGGAAATTTAGGAAGAAGGAAACTTCCTTACTCAATTTCCCAAGCTGTACTGATGAGAGACCCCAATTAGCAACTTCTGGATTCTGCCTTTGGACTTGGCCCCGTGACTCTTTCTCTTCTATCAGCTCCAAGGCCGTCGATTAACCTGCCCCGGGTTTTGACCATAAAGTACTCAAGGGGCTGACAAATGAGCAAGGTCTCTGGGATGAACTCTCAATGCACAAAGGTGCTAGATTAAAGAAACTGACTGGTTATCTGGCAAAAGTGAGTTTTGGAGATTTTATTTCTGTAAAAACCTTATGGATTTCAAGTTCTTCCCATGAGGTCCTGCAAATCTGCTTGATTTTACTGTAAAACCTACAGACTCAAATTTTTCCAAAACCATGGGCTTAGTCCTGAGCTGTCTTAATGATTGGAGAACCCACCTCTCACCTGCTGAACTCCAGCCCAGGGATGATCCAGCCACACGCATACCCTTACATAGACGTCCTTCTGATAGCAACAAGGAGCAGAGCCTGCTGTGCTGAAAGTAACCAGGATTGGAAGCAGGTGATGGTGAGGGGTGCTGAAGGTCCCCGGGTTCATATTTTCAAAGCCTTGATGTCTGCACACTCAAAAAATGCCCCAAACTCTGAGAAATACAGTGTGTTAAGGGCATGTCTCCCCCTGCGTATGTTTTTGATGAATTTCAGGCATCAATGTAGCCATAACCGGAGGATGGGATGAGCCCATATTGAAGCTCTGCCTTCTGTCCACATGGCAAGCAGGGACACTTTCTGAGACTCTATGCAGCAGAGCTTGAATGGTTTTGCCGACCTGGGAAGGGAGACCTCATAGAATTCAGTGATGTGCTCGTATCTCCTAAGGTGTGAATGTAGTGGGCATCTCCTAATTGATTGTGGAGACCTTTCTGATGGTAGGTGTAGGCTGAGATGCATCAGCCAAGGCTCACCCATCTGTCCTCTGATAGGCGACAGTTTCTAATACCTTTAATCATTAGAGGAGCCAAAGAAAGATTATGTATTTGGAAATCACTATTTGGCCATGCCTCCCAATATTTTTCAAAATCTCCATCATCATTTCCATCTCCCTCTTCTATTCATTCTTTTAAAAAATTTGGGTTTAGCCAACTGGGCACAGTGGCTCACACCTGTAATCCTAGCACTTTGGGAGGCCAAGGTGGGCAGATCACGAGGTCAGGAGATCGAGATCATCCTGGCTAACATGGTGAAACCCCGTCTCTACTACAAATACAAAAAATTAGCCAGGCGTAGAGGCGGGTGCCTGTAGTCCCAGCTACTCAGGAGGCTGGGGCAAGAGAATGGCATGAACCTGGGAGGCAGAGCTTGAAATGAGCTGAGATCGTGCCACTGCACTCCAACCAGGGCAACAGAGCAACACGCCGTCTGAAAAACAAAACAAAACAAAACAAATTGTGTTTAGCCAGTAGTGCTCAATTCATAGTGAATTTTTTTTTTTGTTTTTTAGACTGAGTCTCACACTGTTGCCCAGGGTTGGAGTGCAGTGGCACGATCTTGGCTCACTGCAACCTCTGCTTCCCGGGTTCAAATGATTCTCCTGACTCAGCCTCCCGAGTACCTGGGATTACAGGCGCATGCCACCATGCCTGGCTAATTTTGTTGTATTTTTAG